CAACGTAAAAAACCCCCCAAAAACAGGTGAGCAGTACACAATGACCGAAGATACATGGGACAAAATAGCATGAAATGAGGTTCATCTTCAATCCCCTTCACATTGCTTCTTCTTTCCTAACAAAATATCTATCAGCCTTTTTTTCTCCTCTTTCTTTTCTTTGTACGTTACTGTCTAGTAACACCTCTACTCTTCAGCACTCCATGGCCACTTCGAGTTGAAAATACTGTAAAACTCTTACAAAAACTAAAACTAAACACTTTATACACTCATTCCTCCCTAGGTCATCTTACTCTTCAACCAATATCTACCCCACAAACTATGAATGTTTACCAAGAACTAACTACAGATGAGAGACATTGGCTTACAGAAAAAAGTCACCTTTGATAAACAACAGGCCACTTGATTTATTTCTTAAAATGTAACAAACACAAACAAAATAATTCTAAATTTATATAAGATAGTCAATAGAGATAGAAACACGCATTTTTTTCTTTACAAACCGGTAGCTCAGTTGTAAATATTCCAAGCCAAGCTCACCTTTTGAGTCACGGAATCCTTGAGGCCGTGCAGAAAGACAGCTTCCAGGGCATTGCACAAATTGTTGGAGTAATCATTACTGGAAACAAAACAAAAACTCATTACTGTTTCTCATCATATCATATGAGTTTCAATTTTTTAAGCATATCTGTGAAGAAAAATGAGTGGTGAATATTATATTGACTGATGATGTGTGTTTCAGATCTCTGGCACTTCATAATGATGAGCAATTGCCGACTTATGAAATAAGTTCTTTAAGCTGACTTTGGAATCGAGATGACTTGTTTTCAGGTGACTTATAAATTGAGGTAGCTTAAGAATAGAGATGACTTACATGTTAAGGTGAATTATGAATAGAGATAGTTGTGTCTTGAGGTGATTTTTATGAAGAGAGTGTTTACCGTGGACAGAAGCGTATGTCCACTTCATAATGTAGCCTACAATTACTGCTCACCTATAGATCTGCTCTTCCCCATCAGACTGGAGGTGTTTCTGCTGCAGGATCTTGAGTGTGCGGGCAAAGTGGCTGGTGATTCCACGTTTGATGTTTATCTGATGGAGACTATCTTGTTTGTCCTCTGCTGACAAGTGACAGGGATTTTGAAAAAGGTAGAAAAAAGAAAGTCATTTTAAAAAATCAGCAATTCTCTGGTGGGGTGGGGGTAATAGCCTCTTCATAAATAATAGTGTAAATAGCCAGAGACTAGCAATAGTGACAAAATGGCTTTCAGTTTTCATCATATCATTAAGTAAAATCATTTAAAAATTAAAGCATTGAATTGTGAGGCTTCGGAATCTGAATACTAGTCCAACCCCCTAGACTAATAGATTGCACACTTGCTCTTATTAAAAAGTAAAAAACTTTAAAAGTGATGCAAAATGAACAGCTTTAACTGAAACTGGACTACTGACAGTCAGTTGTAATGACCTGTGTGCAGTTGTCACATCAAAGACCACAACAATAATTGTGTAGAAAGAGAAAAATGCAGTGATGAGTGAAAAAACAACTATAGTTTAACTAGGTACAATTTATTGTAACTTTTTGATAATAATAGCATTTAAACTAGTCTACAATCCTAGTCCTTCAACTTCAAGTTTAAATAGTCCCACAATAATTCAATATGTTTTCATACATATACATATATATTTCTTGTTGTAACAACAAATAATAACAGTATGAGAATACTCCACATATTATTCTTGCTCAGGTTTTTTGTTTCCGCCCTTTTTATTTCATTTATGTTTTGAGAGTGAGCTGATCAGACTTTGATCTTCAGAGCGCGCACAGGACACTTACACACCAACAAGCACATAAATAGAATTAACCCCATGTGGGAACCCCATTGCAGGCACTGTGACTACCACAAGGAGACTGTTGAACATCTTCTCCTCCACTGCCCAAACCTGGCAGTTCTTCGACGCAGGCTCCGACACACATCTACAGACTTACAAAGCCTGCTCTACTCTGGCGCTGACCAGATGACAAGGACATGTGGTTACTTGAGGAAGGCATTGCGCTGCCAAGAGCGAAATGCTCGCAGCTAAAGGGATTTGAAAACAACAACAACATGTTTTGAGAGTGTATCACTGAAAAGATGGGAATTTAGGATTCAACACTGATCATCTGTTATACATGTAGATCTAGATTCTACAACTCACTCACAAAAAAATCCTTGAAACAAAAATGTTTTCCCTCGTAAGCTAAATGATATGATGAAAACTGAAAGCCATTTTTTCACTATTGCTAGTCTCTGGCTATTTACACTATCATTTATGAAGAGGCTATTACATCCACCCCACCAGTAGCCTTCTATCCCAAACCTTTTTCAGTCTTTCAACACAATCCCTAACAGAGCCTCAAGGCCTCTGTGCTAGAGTGAGTACACCGGTTCAAAAGACATCAACAGAAATCATATAGAGATATCTTCATCTGAAATTTCCTCCTCACTGGTTTCAGCAAAATCGTCCTTTAAATCACTCATTTTGAAAGTAATTTTGGTTGAAAATGAAAGAATGACAGCACTACAATGCGATAGTCACCATAGTAGTCGAAGCCCACAAAACCTCGCCATTTTGCTAGTTTTTGCAAGCTTCCACAACTAACTGAGTTACTGAGCGCCCGACAGTCTGCCGACAGCGACTGAATTTGTCAACCTCGCAGTTAAGGGTATCGTGTAGAGCTGAAATCTGCTCGATTAATCGAAGGCTTGCGAGCAGCGGACGGCTTGCGCCAGAGGCTTGTGCTTTACTTTGCCTTCCGCTCGCTACCGGGGGGGAACTTCCGGTGGGTTGTGACTCGCGGACAGTCTTGCAGTACTGTGTCGTGATGTCTCGTGGCTGTGGGCTCAGTACATATTACTTTTACAGAAAATTTTCTGGTTATTTGACTAGAGAGGCTTGCACCAAAAGAGCAAGATTGTTTTTTTTTCCATAGTCGGGTTGTAAAAAAGAAAAAGCTCTATTCAATGCACTTAAAAATTAATAATGCAAAGGCCATTTTTAAAAAAATGTGTACGGGCCAAGTGCTTCATTGTCACACGCAAAAGACCTCAGTTCGATTTCCTATGAGGAGAAATTTTTACTGAGAACCTCCGTCTTTCTGCTGCGGCATTGTTCCCTCTCAGCCCAGGTTGGCCCTGACATTGGGTTGAAGTAGACCTAGCCCGTCTCCTAAATGTTCTGTATTATGTCATTGGGAGTGTTAAACATCTACAAAACAGGCTACATACATGATACGATACAAAAGCCAATCACAACAACCCCTGGAGTTTTCCATTCTAAGGTAATCTAAGTCTACTTATTAAGTTTTAGATTAGGTCTCTGTTACTACAATACCACGTTGCCTCTCACTTCATCCACACGCATAGCTGATCAACGGCGGGAAGTTAAAAATTGCTTCGGCTCTCTACGTCTTGCACTAAAACAAGCACAGTGTCTCCCTTCTTCCACGGTTCAGAGTTCACGTGGCGAGCAGGGTGGATTACCGGTCTTGCTGCTAGCTGCTGGCGAGCGGTGTTGCCCTGCAAATGCGGTAGGGAGGCACAGGTGTCTTACCAGGTTGCGAGCAAGCCATGGGACACAGAGCAAGCCATGGGAGGCAAAGCAAATTCTGGGACTCAAGTGTCTTTCTGTGCTGCGGACAGGATTTGAGACTTGACGGCCGTCCGCTGCTCGCAAGCCTTCGATTGATCGAGAAGACTCGAACAGCGATACGCCGCGCAGTGACACTGTGAGCGGGGTCTCTCTCTCTCCCCCTCTCTCTCTTTCAGATGTAAATGGCTTCGTGGATTGCAAGCAGAGTGACGGGGATGAGGGGGTCTGACACGAGTAGCTTTGCGGATTGCTAGTTGGTGTGGACTTGAAGCTCAGGCTAGACTCAACTTATCATGCTGGTGATTTGATTTGATGATCTGACCTAGTGATTTGAGGCTTGTGACTTGAACTAAGGGCTTGCGAGCACTAGCAGGTTTGTTACCAGGGTACAGCTCTAGTAGCGTGTAATCATTACACTCTCTACTTCACAAATTTCTATCATCCTATTGTCTTATTATGTATTTAGGCTTGGCCTACCTGTTCTCAACACCCAGGTGAGAATAAATCCATTACGTATTCTCAGACAAGGTAAGAGTATAAATATAATTATTCTCACCCTCAGTGAGAATAAAATGGATACTATTCAGGATTCTCACCCGAGGTGAGAACAACGACAGCCAATAATAAAATGTGATTTGAGCACCTTTCTAACTAAACTTTATGACTTTAGGCAGGCCTTTTTATAAACACATGAAGCTACAGGGAGCACCTAGCACACCTCTGTGATTGACCCAAATATAGAAGTAGGTAGCATAAACACGGCCTCGCGGGCACTCGAGGCCTTCCGACCGCGTGGTATCTGTGAAATCGGGGTAATTCCGGTCGCAGTTTCTTTGCTCTTTCGCTATAAAACACCAAATGCCGTACACCTTGTAAAAGTTCAGCTTTTCCTCGTTACAATGGTGTAAGTTGTTTATATGTCCGATTATTAGGAGCTGGAGAATCGCCGAGGAAAGTGAAGCCCCTCGCGTTCGGAATGCGTGGTCGGCCGGTTTAAAAATTGACATGCGTGCATTCAAATGCTTCGCAGAACGAGGGATGATTAGATACCGTCTTTTCATTGGCGGAGAACTGTAGAGCTTTAAACGGGCTTTCACTTGGCATATATTTGGTCTTTGGCGTTTAAATAGAAAGCCTTTAAAAATACCGTCAAAATTTTAAAAGATCATTTTTTTACACGAAATATGTAATATACCGGCTTAAAAAAGGTATTTATTAAAAGATTAGTTCATTTCTTATTAGAATAAAGTAATAAGCGTGGAATGATTTTTCATCAATCCTTCCGCGAGACTGGGAAAGCATGTGACCCGGCACGCAGGGTACACTACAGTATAGAGCCGACTCGCTCGCCGCGGGGGCTAGTGCGGCGCCGGCCGGGTCAACGCTCTGTGTTTTTGTCGAAATAATGACAGATCATCGTGTTTGAGGCGATAAAATACTGATTTGTAATGATCTCACAGTCTTGAAAAAAATTAGGCTCCATATATTTGTTACAGTGATTGTACTCTGTTAATGTGGAGATGTTTAGTGCACTTAGTACTCTGGTATTTTTAAAGAAGCACTCCCGTTTTGCGTCACATCCACTACCGGAAGTCAGCTCCTTCACCACTTTAGTGCCGTCGGATATACGAATAAGGTCAGTATTTTTTAGTTAAGGCTTAGTTTTAGGATTTTTTTGTGGATGATGCATGCTTTTATAGTCATTAGGGGGGTTTCAGGGGGTCTCCCCCTGACATGCGAGTACGTTGTAGCTGTGTAGTAGGTCGGGCAGGGGGGGGGGGTTCCGGGGCTCCCCCCTGGAATAGAGTGCCGTAACATCTAAACTAACCATTTGCGATGTTTTTCAATGCCAAAATCTTGTTCAGGGCCCTAAAAAATTTTTAAAAGCTACAAAATAATACCCTTTCTGAGACGGGAGGGTTTCTATAAATTTACCGGTACTCTTTAATTATCTGTCAAACATGGGGCTGCAGCCAGTGACTGACTTTAACAAATTTGATCAAATTTAAAACAACTACCATTTTCTTAAAAATTGACTGAGAGGTTAAAGAATGGTACCAAAATGCTCAGTGGATATAGGCCTTTCAAATGGAAAAGATAAATTTGGCTTACAGCTACTTTGAAAATTTAGTTTCTGGTAAGCCTACCTAATAGAAGACATATTTCCGCCATCTATTTTTTTTGTCTTTCGGGGTTTCCCTCAAGACTCTCGGGTTTCCCTCGCCAGTAACTGTTGACTAGATCTCACCGTGTTTGTTTTCTTGTATTAATTTGTGCTATAATGTTTTAATATAGATCTATAGACCTAAACAATCTCAGCAATTCTCATTCCATAAATTTACCTTCTCCTCAAAGTTGTGCACACACACACACACAAACACATGCACACACACACAAGCGCAAGCACACACACACACACACAAGCGCATGCACACACAGCCCAAGCAGTCAGCGTTCAGCGGCAAGCAAAGCGTTCCCGTTCGCCACGGTGAGATCTCTAGTTACCTGGTGTGGGAAGCCCAAGAAGACGGCAAAAATGGATGGTGGAAGTATGTCATCTAGCCTATATTTGGGCCAATCACAGATGTCATGACAGAGTACAGGGGTGTGCTAGGTGCTCGCTGTATTAGCCTATAAACTTAGGCGGTTGTTAAGATTCCCACGTATAATTCCAATAATGCGTTTTTCATAGCCTCAGGCATGTTTCACTTTTATCCCTAGATCTAGATCTAGATTCTAGAATCTAAGCCTAACCCTAAGCCTAACCCTGAAAAACGCACATCGGAACGTGGGAATCTTAACAATCGCCTAAGTGTAATCTTTTACTTTATCTCTAGATAGATCTAGATTCTAGATCTAGATCTAGAGCCCCCGCACGGCATACCGGCACCTTAGTGTTTTGTGATGACTATTTCCGGAAGTGAACTTTTGTATTACCATAACTTCGGTTCTTTCAAAAACATCGACACAATATTTCGTTTCGTTGAGAGGCCAGCCTTTCCTGTCGGTGTGGGGTGAAGTTTTTAGTCAGATAGTGTATAAAGGAGACCCATAAACGAGACTTGACGCATGTCATGGCACGTACCCCATACCGGCATCCCCAACACCCCATACCAGCACACTCAAATTGAAGCACAACTAGGCGTTTGAAAAGAGGAAAGAAGAAAAGGCGAACTCCTTTTGTACAGTGGGCCTAAGACAGAACTAATTTTTATTGACATACTAAAAAGAACAACCACCAGAACAGACTCACATACATCTTACTCACACATAGGTACATGAATGTTTCATTTTACTCTTCCACACATAACAAACTCATATGAGCATCTTCCTCACACACAGTACATGAATGCTTCATTTTACTCTTCCTCACATATTACAACAAGGGAGTGTATACAGACCCGGTAACCGGGAATAAAGTCACAAAGTATACAGACCCGGTAGGGGAACTCTTTTGTGTTTTCGGAAACTTTCAGCACCCTCTTGGCTCAGGGTAGAACTAGGTTCTTCTAGATCTATGGCCTAGGTCTAGATCTAGACAGACAGATATAAATCATTGATCTAGTTTCGAGGCTAGCCTAGATCTAGACTGTAGATCTAGATCTAGATTCTAGATCTAAAACTAAATGAAGATTGCGGATGTCTTTTCGATGAACGATCATTTTTCCCCTGTTTTGGAGTTAGAGGAATCACAATTTGAAGAAAAGAACAATGTCATAATTTCAATCGAGCAGTCTCTCTCTCTCTCTCTCTCTGTATCGCTCGCATTCTTTTTTTCTTTGTTTGTCTCTGTCTTTCGTTCCTTCCTGCCAACTGGCAGACATGTCATATTATATACATTTTGCTAGCACTTCCCCCTGCGCGCTCTCTCTCTCTCTCTCTCTCTCTTTAACTCACACACACACACACACAGACACACACACACACACTACCGGGTCTGGGCGCTGAAACCCTCCGAAATCACAAAAGAGTTCCCCTACCGGGTCTGTATACTTTGTGACTTTGTTCCCGGTTACCGGGTCTGTATACACTTCGTTACAACAAACCCACTTGAACATCTCTTACTCACACACAAGTACATGAATGCTTCACTTTACTCTTCCACATGTATCACAACAAACTCACATGAACATCTTACTCACACACATACATGAATGCTTCACTTTACTCTTCCACTCAGGGCACACAAATGTAAAATGCTTTAGTAGTTCACTCTTTGACATCTCGCTCAACACAACAGCACTCTGTCCACCACAACGCCCCTTATGATACAATCACAACTCACACACGTCACAACCCACCCATCCATCTTTCTTACCCCACCCCCCACAAGTATAATACGGGTTCGGATCTCTCAAAACACTCTCATCTGCGGAGCGGTCATCGTCGTAAACCAATCCTACCTCCTTTTCATCCTCTTCCTCCATCTCACTCTCCTTTTCTTATTCTCTTTTGCTTCATCATCTTTGTCTAGATTCTAGTTCTAGATCTAGATCTAGATCCGGAGCATCTCTATAGACCCTTACCCTTTCTCTTGAACATGATGTTAGGAAGCAACAGTTTATTGGTGAATTCACGCTGACCAGATTACATGAACATTCGAGCTGAGAATTAATAAGAAAAGGGAACCATTTACTGGTCAGCTGTTTTTTTCGTGGCTTTCTTTTTTCGTCTGCAACAATGTTGTTGTTTTATTCTTGACAACCGGAAGTAGTGCCAGAGAAATGTAGCAGACATCACAATAGCAGTCTTTTATTTAGTTCAGTCAAAAAGCGATTAACTTTTCTCAATATACTCCTTTTGTTGTTCTGTTCTAGGCGTATTTTAAAGGTCAAGGTGATTGCAGTCGTATTGTAAAGGTAAATTATGATGTTCTGATTCACATTCTATCTACAAAATTGAACTAAAAGACTTAGTGGAAAAGCTATATTTTGACAGTCAACTAGGCATACCACCTCTTCCTGAAAACGCCTCTTTCCAACGTGTGGTTTAGGCACACGTTATTATTATCCATAATCAGATGGCTAACAGGTCACAGATTGACAAGAACATGCACACAAACACACACACACACACACACACACCTCCCCCGTGTGGATTCGCACACACATAAATACATACTCTTTAGCTCCAAAGAAAGACTAGGGAACTAGGAGTACAGAAACTTCATAAGAGATTTGGGGGGGGGGGGGGGGGGGGGATAAGATAGATCTAGGGGTATACTTTATTAGTCGCCCAGTATTTGGGCAAGAGATAGGGAAGATGAGGAAGAGCCAGATATGGGCCTAATACATGTTATTGATCAGTCAGTTGGAGAAATAAACAGCATACTTCAACCAACTTCTGGAGCACATGTGGACGAAATCCCCAGCATAATATCAAAGACATACCTTGTAAGCACAATCAAACTCCTCTATAACGACCACCCTTGTCGAGGGGAAAAGTTGTTGTTTTAGTTTTAAACAGGTGATTGTCTTGAGCAGAGTTATTATAATGTAAAAAAATACCCACAAGGGAAGAAATGGGAAGAGGTCGTTTGTACAAGTGATTGTCTTTCACCGCCGGCCGTTTGAAGGTGCGGCTGTTATTTGGAAGACATGTTGGTAACGCCCAACACAGCACACAGCTGTAAGCTTGGTGTAAGGAATATAGCCTAGTTTAGATACGCTCAATTCTACATCTCATCGTCAAATATCAGACAGTTTTACTTTTCCACGTTTCGTTTTACTACGGTACAACAATGTACCATGTTGACACATCTTTTAAGTAACGTAAAAATATTTGGCCCCAAATCAAGACAAGGGACAAAAATCTTCATTATAGTACTCATACCTTTCTCTGTTTCTCTCTTTCACCGCCTCCCTGTTCGCCCTTTTTTTTCCCCTCCCCATCTCCCTCTCTTTTTTGTTCTCTCTTCATTTTTTTTCATACTCTCTCTCTCCGTCTCTATTTTTGTCTCTCTTGCTCTCACTCTCTCTCTCTCTATCTCTCTTTCTTTATCTAAATTGATCATCTTCATTACAATCTGACTGACACAATTCTCTTACTTTTGTAAAAGTTTTACGGCACTTGCAATGCAATAAGGTCATATAAGTGCCGAAGATTAGAGGTGTTACAAAAGAGTAACAAACACAAAAAAGAAGGAGGGGAGATAAGGACGATAGATTTTTTAAGTTTTAGTAGAGGTTTTATGGCGCTTGCAACTGCATAGGGTCATATGAGCGCCAGAAGGGTCATATGAGCGCCAGAAGATTAGAGGTGTTACAAGAGAGTAACAAACATAAAAAAGAAGGAGGGGAGATAAGGACGATAGATTTTTTATAAGAAAGAAGAAGCAAACCACACCAGAGCACCCGCCAACCACCGACAAATAAATGTTTGATAGGAAAGAAGGAGCAAACCACACCACAGCAACCACCCACTCACACACAATTTTTCCCCCAAAAAACAGACAAACAAGCAGGTTTATAGAGGAAATAATCTTTATTCGATGACTGAGAATAATTTCACACACTGTGAACATCTTTCTCTTCTGCGAAACTTCCAATCATCAGACTAGATACAAGACACAAAAAGACACAGGACACAAGTAGACACAACACAAGATGACATTCAAGGCATTTACTCACACTTATGGAAATTCAAACAGTGAGGAAAAGTAGAATGTTTTTTCTATAAAATAATCATTATTTACAGTACATGTATTACAATGTACAAATAGATACAGTATACAGCAAGGCTCCAGATAGTTAATGCCACATCACTGAAATTATGGGTAGAGAAAAACTATCTTTGTAAGAAAAATTCATTACTGAGTGAAAAAAAAATCTGACTGTAATCCTCAGTCACTGCAATGCCTCTATTCTGAGTGGGAAGTAAATTATCTAAAAGATCAAGATCTATCTCATGCGCATATGCCTTGTTTAATCTGATATACACCGGTCTCCCTCTGAGAAAGTTTCGAAACCAAAAATATGACTCTCAAGATTATTCTATCTGGGAAAGGTTTTTCTGATCAACTCACCAAAAATGCCAGAGACCAAAACAGACGTATTGGTACATCTATAAACAAAATAATCATATTTATACATCACTCTGTTCTATCACACTATTGCATATTTCTTTATCACAGGTAAAGATCGATGTTTCAACTCCACGTGAGTCAGGAATTATGCTAGTGGAAGACTTAGCAACACTAGGATGTCTAGGGATGATGAGGTCACTGGAGTAAATTCAGAAAACTAGGGAAAAAACTTTTCTACTAAGCAATGCCAAAAGTGTACCAAAGCTAGCAATATACTGCACACAACAGTCCTTGCATACCATAATTTAAGGACAAAAATGTCCCACCAATCTACAGAAGTGACCAATAATCTCATCTAAAGCAAGTGCCAAAAGAGAAATGACACAAAGACGTGAAACTTATATGAAATGTACAAATAGTGAGTTTTGACCTAGCAACTTTGAAGTGATACTATAGAAATAAGCATCTCATGTGGCTGTTTAGTATTTCATACAGTGGCTCTCAAAAGACTGAGTTAAGTACTAACATGTTGGTATGTCATGACCCTTCACACAGAGACTCAGACAAATAGTTTGGTGCTGTTTAATTGTTCAAATCTTCAAATAGACAACAAATAACCTAGAGGTCTCTGATGGAAATGATTGTGAAGTTCCCTCTGAGTTTAATGTGGAGAGACTTTCATCAGGAGAATTATGCGTGGAGAAACTTTCATCAGGACAAAGGGGGGGG